GCTGAAGACTCGGGACCAGAGCACAGGACCTGAAGGGCGCTGTAGGCAAAAGGGATTTTTGAGGACTTTGACAAGAGAGTCTGCTTGGGCTCCAACGCAGTTGTCCCTGACACTTCTGTTACGATGGGTTTGCTGTCACTTTTATAAACCCTGGCCCTGGCAAGAGAAATGCAAAGATACATATTTTTAAAACGGAATTGAAAGTGTTTTAAACAATGTTTTGTGACTTTCAGATTTGTCGTAGACATTATTTCAAGTTTGAGTGAGTTTTCTGCCATCTCAAATCCGAAGAGAACTGAGATGCTGTTGTCACCTCTGCAGTGAGCTCTCGTCCCCGGCTCGTCCCGGAGTGGCCCTGTTCTCTCAGCCCACACTGCATTTCTTGGTGTTTTGGATTCTCTTTATTCCTTAGCTTTATCCCCTGTTCTTAATCTGTTTCTTTTATTTTCTTCAAAGGTTTTTACCATAGGGCATGTGCGCTAGTGGGAAATACAGAGACAGTGAGAGAGAAAGTGAGAAATGGCCCCCTGGGGGGATGGCCATGCCACAATCCCTTCTTCTCCATTTTCCTCTTGGGGTTCTGGGAACACAGGCTGGTCATGATTTTCAAGCCGGTGAGTCCAGAACTCGGACCACAGTTGGCCAAGTGGGAGTCTAACACCTCTAACTACCATACACCTCATACAATTCTTAAACTTTCTTTTTCTTTTTTTCTTTCTTTCTCTTTTGTTTATTTGTTCCATGAGAAAGGGACAGGGAGACACCCCCGAGAGCCTCCAGGCTGTGGTCCAGGCTGGCCTCCATGAGTCCCAGTCATGAGCTACACACACAAGCCTGGTAGGCACAGAGCGGTCTTGGGGTGCAAGCCCGAGCCCCTCCATGTGGCATCAGCATCGCAGCACCTCATGTTACTGCTCCGCCACCAGCTGCCCCCTTATGTGTTCTGACATTTCATGGCAACCAGCCCTCAGGGGCTCCCTCCGGCCAGTGCAGCCAGCAGTCCCGGAGCAGGTGAGCCTCCGTGGGCCGCGTTACCTATTCCTCAGTGAGTCTGCCCCACAGGCAGCAGGGGCAGTGGAAGCAGTGGGTGAGAAGCCCTGTAAGCTGGCCTGGCTTCGACATTCAGCAACATTCAGGATGCCCTTGAACAAACGCCCTTGCCAAAGTATAGAAACGATGGAGAGTGGGAAAACCAAACTTGCCCCTGTCCCTGTTGACACTATCACGTCAAGAAACGAATCTACTGAGCGTGAAAATAACTCAAAAACCTCGGAAGCCTCAGTGTGTAAGGCCGTAGCTCTCCAGGTCGGCTCGCACCAACGCAGCTTGCTGGAGCTCACTCCAGTCTCCTCGCAGCAGGCTGGGGTCAGGCGGGGAGCTTGCATCTGCAGCAAGGTTCCAGGGGATGCCGAGGTGGCTGCTGGGGCCACACTAGGCCGGGCTGGTCTAAGACATCACTGTAACATGATCTGATCCTGTAGACATGCATTCTCTGCGGTTCTCCCTGGACCTGAAATTCTGAGCTGAGTACAGGCTCTGTAGCACATCGGCGGTGCCCTGAGCGGCGATGCAGGAAGCCACCGCCCGACCTTGGGTTCAGATCCCCAACTGGAAACATGCTAGGTGCATGCGTGTGTACCCAAGGGCAGACAAACAAGGGCTGGGAGAAGGGGTCGCTGTGTGGCCAGACCCTGTGGAGGGTGCTTCTCTCACACATTTGCACACACACTCTGTCACAAACTTAAAAACAACAGCAAACATCAATTCGGAGGTGCCCTGAGGAAAGTCGGGGTGTGCTGAGAGTTAATTGGCCCGGAGCGGAGGGAGGGCTTCACCCAGCGCATCTATCAAATGAGGGCTAGAAATTGCAGAAAGGAGGTCACACCGAAGAAGCTCCACCGTCTAAGAAACGATTTTAAACCTTGTTTTTCTCAGGTGATGAGTTCATTTACTTGGCTGGACTATGGAAGTAGTCTCTTCTCATTGAAGCCTGAGAAGAGGCCACAGGAGCAGGCTCCCGCAGGTCTGCCGGCCGCCCGCGTGTTCAAGGTGCCCCTGTGGTTTACTGGGACAGAGGAAGAGGGCCCTGTTGGCCTCGAGGCCAGCGCGCTGTGCTATGCAGGGCAGAGGCACCGCAGACCACGTCAGCTGGCAGATTCACACGCGCTGTGACACGACTGTAAAACTCCTGGCTCCCAAGCCCATGTCCTTCCGGCTTCGGCCCTTAGACCTCACAAAAGGCAGGTAGTTAATGAAACAAGCCTGTCGTAAAGTAGGCTAAAGGAAATCTGAGGGTTGGGTCAACTTGTGAGGTGGCGGATGAGACCACATCTACCTGTGAAGGCTAAGAGCCGGCTGGACAGCAAAGAGGCTCAGGACACAGGTAGATCTGTATGCGAATCCGGCTTCTCTGGCAAACCTACGTGTAGTGGATGCTCCTGAGCCAACATCGGAAGA